GGAACCCAGGGGCGCCTTGGCAGCATTTTTACGTGGTCAGGAGTGATGAGTCTGGCGGATCAGCCCTCATCTGGCACTATTCTTGCCGAGTGGTTTTCAAAGCCGTATACAGCGTTCCAGCATCATTACAGAGATGTGGATCGACTGCCAGAGATGTGGATCACCAGAAGGAGAGTGAGAGCTGGGAAGTGTGACGGGAAATGTCTGCGGTGGGAAGGTTCGTCACACGTCTCCTCTGGGTCACTGGCATGCCTCACAACCCCAAGTGAACGTAAAGCTTCGTGGCTCACATTACCTCAAAAAGAAACATCCAAATTTACTGTAAATTATGGTTTATCAGCTTGAACTTTATAGGCGCAGAAGGAAAGGAAGCAGGCTGCTTGGGGCCAGCAAAGATGCCTCAGCAGGAAATAGCACTTGCCAAGCCTGGGGACCTGAGTTCTATCCCCATGACACACATTGTAGAAGAGAGCTGACTCATACACGCTGTCTTCTGAGAGAGAGAGAGAGAGAGAGAGAGAGAGAGAGAGAGAGAGAGAGAGAGAGAGAGAATAGTAGGTAGGTAGATGATTGATTGATTTTGAAGACATTTAAATTACTGCCAAGTGAACAGTTGCATTTCCTGTGGTAATCAGCTTCAGGGGCCATCTGAAAATATAAAATATTCCCATTTCCAGCACTGGGTAACTGTAGTGATGAACTGATAAACAAACAAGGAGAAACAGGAGTGGAGTCATCTTCAGAAAGCTCAACAAAGCCATTATTTTTAAGAAGTGCCCTTACCAAGGCCTGAGAGCAGACACAGCAGGGAAGATCACTTTCTGCTCCTATAGAAGCAGGGCTCCTCCACAGGGGAGACAGCTCACAGCCCCAGGGCATCTCATCCCCTCCTCTGGTCACTGTTCACACCTGCACTTACACACACACACACACACCTCGTTATTAAAAATAATAAAAATGTTTAAAAAGAAATGTGCTCACCGTACCAATATGAGTACTGCCTTCTTCCAAAACCATAGCTGACTCTCCCATCATGCACTTCTCCCATCATGCCCTTGGCCATCAGAGCATCACCTTTGAGGTGTGACCATGATAAGCCGGAAACAACACATAAACTTGAGGAATGTCCTGATATAAGATGAAAGCAATTTCTTTTTCTCTGGTTCTCTAAACTTACTTTATTAACTTTTACAAAGCCATGCTTGCATTAAACCGGTCATAAAAGTAAGATATTTTTATGGCATTATCAATCATCTTTTTACACCCATATGCATTTATACCTCAGTGTAGCTTTCTTTTTAAAAAAAAATCTCGTGCTTGAGAATAAAACAAAGATGCAACCATGTCTCCCTCGGAGTCAGGAAGGTCTCAGAGCGCAAGGCACCCTTGAATCACAGAAGCCGGTGAGACGTCTGTCCTGAGAGGGAATTTGGGTGAACGACACAGCCTGGGCATTCGTGCAGCCACTTGATGTCACTTTCCGGCAGAGTTAGACTCCTTCCTGTGCTCCCTTCTCTCTCAACCCACTGGCATCGTCTTTAAGTCTCCAAAAGAGGTCAGGGGACCTTGGAAATGACAGTACAAGGCAAGCGAGAACTGGTACCCTCCAGGTATCTGCTAACGGAAGATAATCACAAGGGAGGACACAGCCTTTAAGGTAGAAGCTTCAAGCAGGTTGGCGGCTGGATAGTTGACGTGAAGATGAAAATGAAAAGGACTTCAGCTTCTGGGCCCCTTGGAGAAGTCGGTTATCCCTCTGCCATGCATGACGCAGCCTGGTACAGGGTTCCTGAAGAAATAACGGTCTGCACACTGTGGAGGCCTCTGGGGTTCACAGCTAACTGGACAGGAAGGGTGGCAGATAGTGTATCATGGTTAAGACAGCATCCTGTGTTTTCTTAAAGAAACTAATGCCTCCGAGAACAGACTGATGGCACGCTGGACCAGCTGCCATTAAGGATGATGATACGGGCCGGGGAGAGGGCTCCGGGTAACAGTGCGAGTCTGATGACCTTGATTTTAGATCTCAGACCCCACGAGAAAAGCCAGATCAGTATCAGCCACCTGTGACCCCAGCACTCATAGAACGACGGAAAGTGTAGACAAGGATGCTTGCAGAAGCTCATGGGCCAGCCTGGCATACAGTAGCAGTGTGGGAATATTGGAGTTTAATGAGTTAGTGTTTTCTGAGTTAATATCTGGCAGTCCGTGCATCTGACATCTGCACAATGGGAGCAAACTCCAGCTTTATTCTGTTTATTCCCGTCTTTTCTATACAAGACCTCTGCAGTGACGTTTTTTCATCTTCTGGGATGTAGGATTGAGGATTCAGGTCAGCTGTGAGCTCCTCCTGTCTTAAGAAGAGTGGATGCTGAAACCTATAAGATGCAAGCAAACGTTGTACTCCCAATAGTGTTGGCAGACAATCAGAAGCTTTCAGAAGAAGGAGCTGGCTGCTGAAGTCCTTGTCCATTGACGACAAGTCTCTGCCTGGAGCCACAGCCTACACACAGCATGGGGAAGCTGACTGACTGAGGCCCAAAATGTTTGCTACAAATTAAACCTAAAACAAAATTGTGTCCATATATAAACTCCAAATTAATTGAAAAAGAAACGTGCACCAACCCATCTGGAGTCTTTTAACTGTGAACTTTTTTTTTTAACCAGAACCTACCCAAAGTAGGCCAAATTTATTTTGCAGATTAGTTTTCAGCCCATCGCTTCAAGAGCAGTTTATTTAGGCAGAGAGTGGTGGCGTGTGCCTTTAATCCCAAACTCTTGGGAGGCAGAGGCAGGTGGATCTCTGTGAGTTTGAGACCAGCCTGGTCTACAGAGCTAGTTCAAGGACAGGCTCCAAAGCCACAGAGAACCCCTGTCTCGAAAAATCAAATTTTAAAAAAGGGCGGTGGGATGGCCTATTTATTTCCTCTTCACACAATAGTTTTCCAAAAACTGAGTTTCAGAGTAAGAACTAAACTGTTCCTCTGCTGAAGGCAAATAGCCCATTATTTCTTAGAAAGTTTCCTTAGGCTTGTGTGTGACCCATGCTAAACAGCCACCCAACTGCCTGGCTCATTTTATACTATTTCAGAGAGGTTCCTTTCTAAAATAGACATTATTACTTGTGTTTAAATGTCACTGGTCTCATTAAATGATTCCCCTTGACTGGTAGCAACTTCCTTCCTAGAGCAAAGTTCTGTAGAAACGCATCAAGTCATATATTAGAAGTTAATTCCATTTCACTAGACATTTTATTCACATATCAGAATTATACAGGAGTCTTGAATTTTATGTGCTTTTGCACATTCTTCTTATTTACACTCTTAACATCTCAGTCCATTCTTCTAGAACTCACCCTTATATTTTATGTAAAAAAAAAAAAACAATTTTGCAAAGAAAGAAAATTTAAATTTTTAAGAGACACATTCGTATTTCATTTAAATACAAATAAAATCAGATTCAGCCTCTATTTACCTGAGTAGTGACTAAATCTAATATACACAGTAATGCCAGATCCATGGCCTTGCAGGTTAATGCTTATGCATAATAACCTTTGTGTCCGTCACAATGCGATGACCACAGTTGCTCAGTAGACTGTGTGCAGTCGAGTTGGGGCTGGCAGCCCTTGTCGGTAGAGGAATTAGAAGTAGGGCTCATTCAGTGAGGCATTAATGGAATGTATCAGTGACTAAATCTGGGAACTAAAGTTACAGATTTCATAGGTGAAGATGCAAGGGTATATCTCCACAGCCTTGGGTTTGGTGATAGATTCTGAGATGCAACCTCCAAAGTATGAACAACAAAAGAGAAATCAAGTAAATATAAAAATGTGAAAGCTTCATGTACCCGAAGGCATTACCAGCAGTAGGGGATAGACTAGAAAGGGGAGGTAATTGGCAGACCTTATATCTAGTCAGGCTGTAGTATCAACTGTGTGAGGAACTTTTCACCTCAGGAACTGTTCCTGGTAGGAATGAAATGGTTCTGCCGCTTCTCAAAATGTTTACAAAGAGTTTTTCACAAGACCCCAAACTCTACCCCTAGGTATATACAGAAAAGGATTTAAAACAGGAGCTGAGTGTGTCCTAGTATTATGATATCAATAGCAGCATGGCTCACAGAATATAAACACCTTTCACTTATAAGCAGGTGCATGCATAAAATACCACCTTAGATATCCAATAGTATTCACCCATGAAAAACGGACCATACCACATGCGTATAATCCTAGCACCCAGAAGCCTGAAGCAGGAGGATTATGAGTTCCCGGCCAGCATAGATTGTATCGTGAGACCTTGCCAAAAAAGGAGGAGAGAAGAAATGAAGGAGGGGGAGAGAAGAAATGAAGGAGGGGGAGAGAAGAAATGAAGGAGGGGGAGAGAAGAAATGAAGGAGGGGGAGAGAAGAAATGAAGGAGGGGGAGAGAAGAAATGAAGGAGGAGACAGGGGTGGGAGAGATGGCTACTGATACCAACTCCAACAAGAAGGCACGCCCAGGGCAGCATTCTATCTGGAGGAGCCAGACTCAAAGGTCACAGGTTACATGATTCTGTGTGTGTGTGAGAAAGTCTGACAAGACGGGAAATGGGTATATTACTAGAGGCTGGGGGACGGGAAGGGGATGTGGGAGATGCTGCGTGAGTAAGGGTGAGGGGCTTGACTGAGGGATGGGACGCCGCCTAGAAAGAGGTGGTAGTCGTCTCTCACCGCGAGAGCTCCACAGCCACGGAATCTCTTGTCTCCTAGTGTCTGTTTTGTGTGATGTGAATCCTCTCCTCGGTGAAGTGTAACAAAAACTCAGTCGTGAGAAATGGCTGTGATTGCCATCTGCATTCCCAGAACCTCTTAGCACGCACACCCGTGTAAATGTTTCTCGTGGCGGTAGCTGGCAGGGTTGTGAGTGGAGGCTTGGTTCTGTACAGTGACTGACAATATCGTGTGTTCAGCTTCGGTTTGAAAAATGAAAGTAAGAGAATTAATTGATATTTTTTTTTTTTCAGGACTCTCAACTTGTATCCTCCGGACACAATAATCCAAGTAAGAATGTCTCTTTAAAGCTTTCTGTGGGGGGGGGGGGAAGATGAGCAGTAGGTTTCAAAACAGCCACCAGGAGACAAAATCAAGTGAGAAAAAGAGATAGAACTTCTTATTCAGGCACCGCCTACGTGCGTGATGAGGTTCCTGATGGCCTGGGTGTGGATATTTAAGGGGAAGAGAAGCCAAAGCATAGAACAGTGCGTGTCAAAGGCATTCCAGAAGAAAATATGCTCCATTGGTCCCTAGTATCTGTGAAGGAAACAAATTAAAAGGCAAGTAATGAGATGCCTAAATTAAAAGAAAATGAATAGGCAAAGAAATCCAATCAGAAGTCTTCGCAATAAACGGCCTTAGACTCTATGAGGGAGACTCACACTTGCAAAATATGCTGTGTCTTCTTCCAGAAATAGGCAGCTGGGCTGGACAGCAAGTGGTCCCTTTATTGAATCAGTGGATAATGAAGTTCATGAGCTCTGTCATCAGACAGGGAGCATTCGGTGGAGAAGAGTTTTAATTCTCTTCCTTGGCCCTACAAATTGGTATTCACGTTGTCTGGGGGCATTAAAAATGCATAAGCTGCCCTGTTTGTGTCCTAAGAGCAAACTCATAAAGTTGAGGCTTTGTCGGTTTCCTGAGCAGCCAGTGAGCTGGGAACAGAGCAGCCTTTGCTAGTTATACCAAGCTCTGTGGGAAGATAAAAATCACATGGGAGGACAGGAGAAAGGTGAATTGGAGGGGGTGATGGCACTCCAGCACAGGGATTTCTGGGAACATGGTCACCAGTGAGGAATCTTTGTAATCCTTCTGTGACAAATCCTCTGTTTAATAAGCTTCTCTTTTATAATATTAGGATATTAAATATGTTAGTGTATGCTCACGTATGAAAGCACCTGGAATGCGTCTGCCTTTTATAAGTTGGGGGGATGCTTGCTTCAGTGACAGGTTGGTCTTAAGTACTTGCTCCTTTCCCTTTTGGACCCCTCACTCAGTGACTAGGACTCTGTAGGAATGGGACTAAATTAGCAGCAGCCTGGTCCAGGAAAGAATGACATCTGGCGAACAGAAAGATGGGCCCCTACTGAAAAACAGCCCTGAGCAGTCCAATTTTTTCTCAGACAAAAAAACAACAACAGAGAGTGTGTGCTGGTGTATGAGAGCCCTTGGGAGCCCAGGAGAACAGGCGTGGACCGAAGTGATGTACACCTGGACAGTTCCACCTGTCACCCAAGTCCCCATCCTCAATAGTGTACACCTAGATATTTCCGTTTGATTTCCCTTTTCAAAAGATCCATAAAACGAAAACCACAGTAATACTGGCTTAAGAGATGAACAGTTGACTAACTCTCCTCCTAAAGAGAAACAACATAGACTCTAAAGATGGTGTCAGATCTGGACGGGGCAAAATTCAGTAAGGTGACTAATCAAGAATTCTGCCCACGCAGTGTGAAGTGTCTCCCACCTTGTTAGGGAGCAAAAGCAGGCTCTGGGCCCCCAGCTCACCGCTTGTCTTGTGAAGCTCCAGCCAACATACCCTCTCCTCTTGCAGATCAGCCCTTGGTGCCCCACAAGGCACAGGTATTCTAGAAAAGTCCATCAGTGTTCCGATGTGGAAATCAGCACCTCACTTGTTTGAACAGCCCCTTGTTCAAACCTGTGAGCAGCTGTGAGCACTGAAAGGCCTGACCTGGAGGAAATCCGTGTCACTCGAGGCAGAGGAGCAGAGGTGCAAGTGTAGGGCGGAAAGACCTGTAATTAATTGTGGGGAGCAAAAAAAGCTATGCAAAACAAGAGGTTGCTGATTAAGAATTGAAAATATGATCAGTTAAGTAAAAAAAAAAAAAAATCAGTAGACTTTCATAAAAGCAGTAAGCAATAGCTTAAGGCCCAAACCTGGCACATATAATTGAAACCTTTTTATTTTCATGATAAAGACTTATGTTAGCCTCAAAGGAGGCTAACATAAACAGAAAACCAGGACTGCAGCATCAAGGTCCAGTTGATAGAATACCAGAAAAAAAAAAAAGTCAAAAATTAAACAAAGCTCAAAACAAATAACGTCCCCCAAGAAAACAAGCAACATACAGTTTAAAAATCACTTTATGTAAAAGGAAAAAAAAAAAAAAAAAAAAAAAAAAAAAAAAAGGCTTTACACAAGTGAAATCAGAATTCTGGTATTTGAACTGTGGACTACAGAATGTTTGTTAAATTACAAAAGAGGTCGCAGAAAAGGTGGAAATACAGTAAAGAACAAGAAAATCTGAAGAAATGCTAATTCACATTTATATAAATAAAAAATAGAAAGTAAATTTCCTTGGGAAAGTTTAATATCACATTTGACATTGTTGGAAAAAACAAAACCAATGAATTGATTAGAAAGCTGAACTTGAGTATAAAGAGCGAGCATAGGAAGACCAAGCGCAGACAGACAGAAGGGCATGAGTTACAAAGCAAGGAGCTGCTGTAGGAACGTTACCATCCAACTGGCTAGAATTCCCAAAACATGCGGGTCAGGGCCCTTAGTGAAGGACGCGACCGTGAGAATTATCCATCTGGAAAGCTAGCCCACAGGCGCACGGTGCCCAAGTAATGTAAACAACCCTACAACTGTTTATTTCCTAAAAGTTACTCAGTCGTTTTAAAAGTGAAATCGTTTTACACGGCGGTAACACTGGACTGGTTCTCACCGGGAATTACACCAAGCACTGTGAGAGATGACTCACAGCTGGCACCCACTTGTGGGCAGTCTGGTAGGAAGGGCAACAATTCCCCACTCACTGAGGCCACTGTACCCTTGATGTCAGAACTCGACAACAATCGTACAAGAAAGAAATGTTATAATTTTACTAATGATCCCAATGCACTTGCTATTCATTTAAATCTAGCAATGTGTAAAATACATTTCAAAGTGTAAAAGGCAAGGAATCCTATTTGTTGTAGTAATTCAAAAATCAGATTCTGTGCAAATACTGATGCAATTCACCGTAGTAATATGAAAAGATGAAATATGTTTAATTAAAGACAGTGAGAAAAGTACTTGATAAAATCCTATATGTGTAATTGGGGTGGGGGGAATGTCTTAGCGAGTTGGGACTAGAAGACCAGCTCGTTTCCGTGAACAGTTGCGCATGTCAGAAAGGAAAATCTCTCTCCTGTTTCATGGTAGTACTCCTCACCCTCTAAAGCTTAGGCAAAGGTACCAGTTCAAGGCCGACCCCTCAGGACAGAATCCTTGGTCACAGCAGTAAGTTGAGAAAAAGGAAAGTGGGGTGTTCCTTATGGTGAAAATGTCAGCTCGTTTCCCCAAACGATGTGACCATCAATACACTGATAGAACACTGAAAAACCCCCGCAGATGAATAATTAGAATTAATAAGAAAATAGGACAATTCTGTACTCACAATCAATTGCATTCTCCTAATTTAAAAAAAAAAAAAAAACAAAGATCACAGCTAAAAATATCTGTCATTGGCATAAAACATACATAACTTACTAAGCAAAGAATGTGAAAAAGTATAAACGTGAATGATGGGAAAGGTTACAGACTCTCAGGGAATATTGCGGACGACCTAAATGAATAGACTGACTAATACCAGGTACAGGCATTAGAATGACGGCGTGAAGATTATCATTCTCTGTACATTGAACTGTAGATTCAATACAACGCCAATCAAACTTCAGGTGTTGGCAAGCTGGGCCTCTGATTTATACCATAGAGAAAAAGATGAGGATGGCGAATACTTACATGAAAAAGAACAAAGTTGGAACCTTTTCTTTACCAGTTTTGAAACAAGCACAGCTACATTAGTAAGGTAGAAAGAGACTAGTGGACTGATGGACGACCATGGATACATGGAGACCAGAGTCCCAGGCCGTGTGGAGAAGCAGGTGTCTTGTGCTACAATATTGGAATGGGAAACTGTAGTTGATACTTGTTTTTTACCCTTTTGGCTCTGCACTTTGGGGGCCTGCCACCCAGCTCCCAAATAAAAACAGTTTTGTTCTTTCTGATAAATGCCCAGCTTTGCTCAACTTGTTTCTATTTCTCTTTTCTTAAATTATCCCATCTACTGTTTGTCTCTGGGCTTTTACCTTGATTCTATGTAACTTTCTTCTTACTCCATGGTTTGCTGTGTAGCTGGGTGTCTGTCCTTTGATGTCCTCCTGTCTGTCTCTCCTCATCCTCCTCCTGTTTATTCTCTGCCCACCGGCCCACCTATCCCTGTCCAGCTATTTATAAGGTCAATCAGGTGTTTTAGACAGGCAAATTAACACAGCTTCTCGGAGTTAAACAAATGCAACATAAGAGAATGCAGCATATCTTTGCATCATTAAACAAATGCTCCACAGCAAAACACAAATGTAACACATCTTAAAATAATACTCTACAACAGGAAATAATGAAATCCCCTCTCTCCTGAGTTCGCACAAACATTACTTCAAGTATTTTTAAGAGACCAGTAAAACTGTGCTTTTAGAAGATGGTAATGGAATGTCTTATTTGTGTCTTCAATAAATATGAAGACATCAAAGGAAACTATTTGCAAATATCTCTTTATTAAAGTGGAAAACACCGTTCAGCCAAAAGTACCAGGTACAAAAGTAAACAGCCAGCACGAGAACATTGTATCTTATTACTTAGACGTATAATCTGTGTTTGTGGTGGTTAAAGAGTAACCGTTAGCACTGGGACAACGAATCAAAACATTTTAAGAAATGACACAAAAGAACCAGGTACAGAGTGTGTGTGGGGGGGGGGGGCGGGTGGCTCACTGTTCTCAGACACATGCAGACATCACAGTGATGTTTCCCTCCACACTACGGTATTCCCTGAAGGATTGTAAATCTGGATTTGCCAGTTTGGGACATAGGAAAGCCCTGACGTCCAGAGTTTCTGATGTTCTGTGGGGAAAGGTGTTCATGAACATTTGCAAATGCATCGTTCGTGTAAGTCAAATCGAAATGCCCCTAATAAGTCTAATAAGAAGCTCACAGTACACTTCTGTAGACAGAGGCCGCCGGCTGCAGCACTGAATCAGGGCAGCGCTGTGAGCATCCCGGCAGTTGATTCTCAAGAGTCAGAGATGAGTCTCAGGAGACTGTGTAGTAACCCAGCCCCACTCGTATCAAGTGTAAAAACAGGAGTGACTGAGAAAGGCAGGTGTAGCTCCCTCACTACAATCTGCTCCCCTAGAGACAAGACAGTGGCTCATTCCCAACAGGAATGCCCGAATGCCATTTATTGAGGAGGAAGGAGCAGGCTTATATACTGACTTACAGCACAGTGGAAAACAGTCAAAGGCCAAGCGTGCAAGTTCTCAGGCTTAGTTCCTCCCCAGTACCAGTAACAACTCTGGGGCAAGATGTTCCAGCTAAAACTGCAGAATGTTCCAGCCAACAGCTTGGGCTTGCTCAAGGTGCCTCTGGGGTCCATGAGGGGCCCTACAGGCAAGAAAGAGGATGCAGTCCACTGGGACCACTAAGGAGGCAGTAGATGACTTGTGAATATTTATTTCCATCCTGGAAGGTGTTTTCATAGTGCATTTTAGTTTTTAAAAATGCCTGCCTATACCCATCAATTGCATGTACATTTTATGTGCATTAAAGGTACATACCATTTAGCAATCTTTTAGGAAAGGCCTGGCCTTGACTTGAGAAAAACTAACCCACGGAATGACGGGATGTAAGAGTAAGAACCATTGAGCATAAATGCCAGGAACATTTCCATTGTTCAGTGAGGAATACTTCCTGGTGTGAGTCAGCTCTTCCTCCCTTGTTGGTTAGTATCTCTCACTTGTATTATGCTGCAAGTACTCATTACTGGTTTGTAGTTTCTCTAACTGACCGATAAGCGAATACAGTGAATAATCCATTAACTACATTAATATTACCGTGAAGGTTCACTAATAGTTGTGATTTTACCGTGTGAAAAGAACGATACACCTACTTAGAGTTGTGACAGGATGGAAGAGAGGCGTGTGGGTGAGCCTCCTCACTTTACATTTATAAAAACAGAAGCCGGAGGCCTCAGACACGGCTCCAGCGTTATTCAAGAGTACTTGCTCTGGTGCTAGTACCCACGTGGCAGTCTACAGCTGCCTTACTCCGGTTCTAAGGGATCTGATGCCCTCTTCTCTGTAGCCACCACACTCCTGTGGTTCACAGATACGCAAGCAGGCAAAACATCCGTGCACATTAAACAAAAACGCATAATTAGTTTTCAAAAGAAGCTGAGATTAATCAAGAAACAGATTACATTCTGTTCTTTCTTCATAGCATAACCCTCTCACTTTCTCAATGTGAGAAATAAAAGATTAAGAAGTTATAAATACATGTTAGAATACATATTTTATCTGGAGGACCTTTTTATTTTAGTCATTTCAATAACATCTCAGTTAAAAATTTAGTAACAAGGTGTAGCTCCTCTTAATCTTATTAGAAACTACATATGTGTGGGTTTTTATTACACTTTTTATTTTTTTACTCCTCATGCAGTGTGTTTTAATCATTTTCATTCCCCTTCCCCCAAGCCATCCCAGATCTTCCCCTCCTCCCTTCCCACTTAACTTGATGTTCTTCCTTTTCCAAAAATAAAAAGTGCTGGACCCACGTGTCCAAACTCTCCTCTGTTGGGAAGATGGTCACTGTAACTAACACCATCAGGGTACTCAGTGTCTCTATAAGAAGATTTTTTTTTAATCTTACCTCTACCAGGCACACGGGAGCCATCATCATGTGTAATCAGTTAGAAAGGAAGCTACTGTATGGTTTCAAGTGGCCTATTGAGTGAGCTGTTTCGCGCCTCAAAATATATCCACCCCAATGGTGATTGCCACTCAGCGCTACCCTCGGCGCTAAGGTTTTTTACTTTCCATTTCAGTGACTTGGCATCAGAGGGCACATGTGAAATTGAAAACACATGTATCACACACACACACACACACACACACACACACACACCACAAATGATGGTGGTTAGGATAATAAACAGATAGAGGAAGGAGGGAGGAAGGAAGGATAGATAATAGATAGATAGATAGACAGACAGACAGACAGACAGATGTGAATAAAAATGCTTGTTACTAACCCTGATGACCTATACTTGACCCATGGGATCTACCATAAAACCCAAATAGTTGAAAAAACCAATTCCCACAGATTGTCCTCTGACATACCTACCATGGCCTTCATCTCACACACACACGCACACGCACACAGTAATAAATAGCATGAAAAGTAGCTTAATGTCTTTACATACATTTTGCATATGTAAATACACATTTTCACGGATATCTGTATGACCCTCCCTTTCTCTCTGGACTCTGTTTCCATGTGCACCGTGACTGCCCTGTACGTCCTCTACCTTGTTTATTAATGGGCAATGCAGATCCCCCCCTCCCCAGTGAGACCAGAATGGTGGCATCCAAGAGCTAAGGACGACTATAAGCTGACTCCCAGTGGTCTTCTTTGTGGGGCACAAGTACCCACTTGCCGACTCATGGCCCTGAGACTTCGAGAGCTCTCCTCTGTCACTTCCCCTTGAGGCCTGGTGAAGGGATAATGATTCCCAGTAACTCAAATCCTTGACCGTTTCAAATTAACTTCAGAAATTGCATCACCTAAATTTCCAAAGGTGTTGGGGGTTTAATTTGCTTGTATTTTCTTCCTGAAAGACAAAAAAAAAAAAACTGTAATCCCTGTCTCAAGCCTGGCCTTGCTGTTCCCCCAGAAAGAGTCACTCTCTGAGTACTGAGATTGCCAAGAGCACTATCAGACTGCTCCTGTAAATGTCCCTTTTGGCCCCACCTTACCCCTCCTGTTGCCACAACATAGTGCTGCTAAGAGCAGAGATAATCAGCTGCCGCCCTGTCCCCATGCTGAAGCCAGCCCAGGATGCCTCCGGCCCCCAGATCCCATGTGCAATCCAACCTGGGTCCTCTCGGCCTGTGGGCTACTTGACAGCGTTATTGGTCAAGGTAAAACACGTACTCAGACATCCAATCAAGGTCTTCCTTTATCTTATAGTTTGCCCTTGGTCTCTGCCATGAACTGTTGGGAATGTTTACTGTCTGGTACTGCTGGGCCTGTCTGATACCCTCCATTATAATGGTGCCTGGCCATAACTGCTGACGGCTGTTCCTGGAGAAATGTGACCCACGTCGGGGGAGGGGGAGGAAAGGCAATGTGCATGAGAGGAATTAGACCCTTGTTTAGTTTTGTCTTGCTTAATACAGGTGCTGTGACTGTATTTTAGGACTGTGGCAGAAATGATGGCTCTGGGAAAACGATTCTGGAAAAGACTAAATTAGGTTATTTTCCAGGCCACTTGACCGGACCTTACATATCTCCTAAATGAGCACACCATAGTTCTGCACAGGGTATTAGAGCAAGCATCAGTCTGTTGTGTTTGCTTTCATCTCAACATAGTTTCAGCTGGGTCAGGAACCTACTAGTCGGGTTGGTATCAACATAGGTGGTGTGCCTCCCCCCCCCCCTTCCTTTGACTGGGTTTGGGACTGACTAGCTGTCTCTTGCAAGTGTTCTGGCTCCATGTAGACATGCAGCAGAGTTATATCTGAGATGCGTGTATGCAAATGTCCTCCCTTCCTTGCAGCTTTTTAGTCTCCTGCAAGAACAAACAAAGTGGCCTCTGGAGCTCAGTTAGGAGGCTTCCTTTGGGATAAGTTCATTGTATAGTCCAGGAGGTCATTCCCAAAATGATACAACCACAAGCCAGCGTCGGAATCGAATACGTGAAACTTCCTATCATGGTCCGGTGTTTGGGTAGGTGGGGCTAAGCAGAAGCTGAGGTCCCGGAAGGTGTCAGGCCTGGCTTGGACGATAGCAGAGGTTAGCTGCTGCCACTAGGCGCATCCCCTGCTGCTCAGAACTTTACTGGGTTAGTTCAGCTCTTGGCACTGCAGAGCCATCCGTAGTAGCCTAGCACAACCGGCTTTTTCTTTCCGTGGCCATAAAACCTTAGGAGCGCCTTTCAAAGTGAGGGTGCACATTTCAAATCGCAGTTGGCTCGGGGCTAAGTATTACCTTATGCCTGTTGTGAAAAGGATTTGGACTGCTTCCAAACTCCTAAAACTAAATCCCCCATAGCTGTGTCCCATGGAGATGTTCTTTTACTTGCCTCTCAGATGGTCAGAAAGGATTTCTGGTTTATATCTTATTCTGCTTTTACTGGGAGCCCCCAAATCCGCTGCCAGAGTTCTCTGTGGGGTGAAATTCTTGGACACTTCATGACTATAGCTTCAGTGTTTTGTGAAATTCTCTCCAAGTTCCAATGCAGCCTGACCCCATTTGGCTTGTGTTAGCAGAAGGGATCAAAGTTCAGAGTGCTTTGGATGTGCAACGCTAATGAATTTATTTCCTTAAACTTTCTGTAAAGTGTAGTGGAGAGAAACTGATTCCATCTGTAAGATATTCATCTTCTGGCAAGGCCTGCACTCCATGTCTCTGCTTGTTTGCAAATAGCTCCTTGGTACCTACTCAAGGCTCTGTGCCTGGGCAATTGTATTGCCAAAGCGAAATTATTTTTCACATTGGGTTCTCAAACAATAAAAGATGTTTTAAAAGCCTCCCGCTGCACATTTTGAAAGCTCGTTAATAGGAGCATAGAAATACATTTAATCTTAAATCTTAAAGGACTGTAAGACTGATGTTGGTGTTTTTTTTTTTTTTTTTTCTTCTCCCCCCCTCTACTTCCTTTTTAAGAGAAGGCTGAAGCGGAGCCAGAGAGCCCAGACAATGGCACATCGAATACATCGTAAGTGTCTTTCGCGTTTCTCTCTGAGATGACGGTTCTTTAATATGCCTTATAAAATGAAACAGTACAAGTATCTTGCGATGGTGGTAACCATAGCGGAAGGAGGCCCACGGTTCTCTTTTTTCATGATAATGTCTTTTTAAATGCTTTTGGGTAGAGACGCACTTTGAGGTTTTTATGCTTTAGCACTGAAAAAGGGATCTTGCAAATGCTCTTCTTTCTAAAGTCCAAATATAATTAGACTAGAGCATATGTACTAAGGGAGGATGGAGATAAGCCCTTTAAAATTTGGCTGGAGACTTTTAACACTGACATAAGATTTGCAGAACTTTCTACACATACCGGAGGGCATTCTGTCCCACATACCCATGAAGTACCCAAGTCATTTAACAAGCCTGCCATCTGCAGTCCCACCTCTGAAATATGTGACAAACACAACTAGATATCTCTAGGATCTCAAGGATTCATTGATTTTTTTAAGTAAAGCGTTTGTCAAAGATGAGAAAAGATACTTAGAAGGCCTCATTGTTACGTTTTTATCTTTTCCTTCTCAGTATTGAAGGAATACAAGTATGTTTTTAATGATGCATATGATACCAAATTAAGGTTGGTCCCAGGACTAGAGGATCAGCTCAGTGGGTAAAGCGTTTGCTGAGGCATGTGGCGAGCACCTTGAGCCTCAGCCCTAGAGAAGCAGTAATAGGCAGAGTCTTGGGGCTCACCAGCTGGTCAGTCTAGCATTCTTGCTGAGCTCCAGGCCAGTGAGTGGCCCCATGTCAAACAATAACGTTATCATTATTATTGTCTGAAATGCCTATAAGTCCTTAATGGCAACGAAGCATGGACTAACTAATGACTGTTGTAACCTCACAAGCATCCATACAGGCTTCCTCCTTAAAATGTTCGTTTTGATCACCTTTGAGGAATGGAACATGCTCGATTATAGGAATGGCTTTGTGCTAACCACCTAATGTGTTCTTCATTGGCAACCACAGCCTATGATCCAGTATTGTCTTCTATTTGGTTCAAGAACTTTTTCCACCTATAGAGCTCCTCTGGCTTATACAAGGTGGCTGGATGTTTAATAATAGATAGGACTATGGGCTATGTTTCTCAAGATATTGCCCTAAACGTTCTAATGAGTTTTGTTCGTTTTGTATTTTCTCACGAAATAATAAATATGGCAGTCCTAACTGGTTAGAAATGTTGGTGGGTTTTTAAGTTATGCTGTAGGATACAATGGGTGAAGTGTTTTAACGCCATCTGGAGGCATTCTAGAGAACTGAAAAGGGTAGAATCGCTGAAAATTACCATTAACTTGAGTACCATTTGGACAAGATGAAAATGAATGTAACTAGAGCGTAAGATATTGGTGAAATAGTTGTATCTATTTGTTATTTGATAACAGCGTTGATTTTATAAAAGCAGCAGTCTTTCAAATTCTTAACAAAATCGTTTCCTAGACAGACAAAAGAGCATCAAAAATATGTCAGTGAACCGTCAGCATTATTATGCATAACTTTACATATTTTGAAAATCTTGCTCGCCAGACAGCAGCTTGACTTGTGTGATTTGGTGCACTGTTTATGATCGCCTTCCTTTCCCTGTGCATTTCTGTAGCATCCTCTCCCCAAATGTCGGTTTCCACTGCTCAGTGCTTTATTTTTCTAGTGTGTAAGGAGGAAAGTTCAAGCACTTTGGTGATGTGAAATCCGCAGCCCACCTCCCTGCCTCTTCATTCCCGAGTGGTTCCTTTGTGTCCTACTGTATGGTTGTCACTCAAATCGCACGTAATAGAAACAGAGCTGAGGTTACAAGGACCTCTTCAAAGTGAGGCACCATGGGCGTGAGTCTTAAGAGTCTCTCCGAGCTCTTCCCAGGGGCTCTGTTATACTCAGGCAGGGAAACACTGGGAGGGCCAGCTTAAGGATGCCTCAGACGTGGGTAGCAGTGGCATGCTTGCAGATGATGTTATGTGCACCTACTCACACATATGAGTATATACTTACATCGCAAGCACACACACACTCACACACACACACACACACACACACACACACACACGCACGCAACACACGATATATACCCCTCATTTGTGTTTCAATGTAATGGGTATAGCAAGACACTCTACACACATTGCATATGAGAAGTCTGAGGATCAGAATGGCTGCCCAATTTAAAGGATACTTAGGGCATAAACGTATAATCTTGAGACAAAGTCAAGCCATGAGTTGGAAGCAATTTTTTTTTTAAAATTGAACCACTTTTGGTTAGAGACAAGTACCAGTCAGGGGCCACCGCTGACAAATGCAACAGAAATGTCCTTTCCCCACTGAATGAGGCGGCCCTCCCTTCCGACCGTTGGGAGGGAGGGCCACCTGCATTGCTGGTCTATGTACATCGTACAGGCCATCCGTTTGCTTTCACAGCATCTCCTTCCTCTGTGCCCCTTTCTGTAAGTACACCATCCATACTGATCAAAGCCCACCATGTTAGCTTGAGACCTCACCATGACGGTTTCGTTTTAACGCGGTTACTTCCACAAAGATCCTGTCCCAACATGAGGTCACGTTCCGAGATAACAGTTTTGGTCTGAAGAGGAAAAGTCCCCCGCGGCTTCCAGTTTTTGGATACTTGGTTTTGATGACATCCACCCTGGGACTTAAGCTGACAGAGGTTCACTTGGGAGGGAGGGGGAATCCTTGAGATTGTCTGTTCTTTCTCTCTCCTCCTTCCTCTACTCCACGCCCACATGAGGTGAGAGCCATCTCCGCCATGTCTCCTCTGTCATGATGCTCTGCCGAAGCTCACGGGGACGAACAAATGTGAACCCTGTGAAACTGGGCCCCAGATTAAGCATTTTCCTCCTCTACATTGTTTCTTCCAGCTGTTTGTCACAGCTACCCAGGGATAACCAGCATGGTACTAAAGGTAGAACCTTAGCATACGGGTTCCTCAGGGAGAAGCAATTCAACCCATAACCCTGAAGGGCAGACTTGGGGAAGGGAACGCTTAGGAATTGGTATTTAACAGGAATAGAATGTACGGATTTCAGCAGGTGGGGCAAAGGCCATAGCTTCAATGGACGCCCGAGGGGCTGAGCCGACTCCAACCATTGGGCAAGGCGTGGTGGGGCACACCTGCAGTGCCAGCACTTGGGAGGCAGAGACAGGAGAGAGGATCACTGCAAGTTCAAAGCCAACCCTGGTCTGTGCGGTGAGCGCCAGGACACCCGGAAGCCACAGGGGCATAGCAATCCCGTCTCATAAACGAGTGGCCCTGGGAGCCAGAGCACATTTTCTAAAGAAGAGCCTTTCTGCCTTGTTAATTGTGATGCACTTCAGACATGTGTCGCGTGGTAGGACAAAGGAATTGGGGAAATTCCTGAGGTTTCCTTCAGGAGTAATGATCCAGGGATTCAAGAAGATGAAAGGGTCAGCTTAATATTTAGACACAAACAAAACCATAACTGTCTGTGAAAGAGTTTCTGTTACATTAATGATGGGGAAACTCGCATTAGTTTTTTCAGGCGCAGTATAGAAATTTGATCCCAGAAAGAAGCAAAGAGGGTTGAGCAAGAACTACGTTTAGATAGACTCTTCCAGGGTGCACTCAGCCATCCGCAAGGACTGAAGGAGGGAACCACACTTCCAATGGTGTGAGATGTCAGAGGGCGAAGCCCCCGGCTGGGCACGTATGGCGTAACTAAGGGAAGAACTTTCATAAAGGAGGAGCCATGAGAAACAGACACTCCCGGTGCTGGATTTAAACCCCACGGGTGCTTTAATGACTCTTAATTTGCATAGTCCGGTGTTGGGAAGATACCTATGAGAACCGTCGGTCGGAAACAAGAACTAGAACTCCGTAAAGGACCAGCGGAGACTTCCGCTACTGCCCAGAGTCGGGGACTGAAATATCACCCAAGATGCGGATGTAGAGTAAAACCGGTTTTCCCAAGTCTGGAAGGATCAAGCTTTGACAGGAAGTTGAAGGTAGAGAGGCAGTGCCATGGTCAAGGCACATCATGCTCCTGCAGAAAACCTGGGTGTGGTTCCCAGCACTAAAGTCAGGCGCCTTGCAACCGCCCATAGCTCCATTCCTGGGTATCCAATGGCGAGTTTTATGTCAACTTCCCACAAGCTAGAGTCATTGGAGAGAGAAGCCCCAATTAAGAAAACGCCTCCTTCAGAGCAGGCTGTAGGCAAACCTGTAGGACATTTCTTAATTAGTGATTGATGGGAGAGGGCCCAGCCGTTGTGGATGAGGCCATCCCTGAGCTGGTGACCCTGGGTTCTATAAGAAATCAGGCTGAGCAAACCATATGAACAAGCCAGTAAGCAGCATCCCTCCATGATCTCTGCATCAGCTCCTGCCTCCAGGTTCCTGTCCTGGCTTCCTTCAATGATGAATAGAAGTTTAAAGCAAATAAACATTTACAGGAAATGTAAATATATGACTATGTTTTAAAAAAATGCTTACTGCAGTAAAAATCTTTTATAATTTGTATGTATATAAATGTAAAATGTATGGCAAAAGCAACATAAATGATAAGGGTCTCATATTCATGTGTAAGTAGCACAATATTAAATCTAAGTACACTGGCTATAAGATAAATATACATAGTACACCAGTATATCACTAGAAACAGATACTGAATGGAACTCATCTAAAAAGCAATTGCAGAAATTTTTAAATAGATTAACATAAATGACAATAGTCCAAAAAGTTCAGAAACAAAGATACCAATAGAAAACTAGCAAACCTAAATCTGCCTACAGTGCCTGTATTAAATATAAAAACATTAAAAACTCCAGTGGTGCAGCTGGGGCAATGTATGAGGTCACTGGCAGTGTCCAAGACCTAACTCTAATGCACAAACTGACTTAGTGGAGCCCATTCTATATGGAGAGACACCTTGCTCAGCCTAGGCACAGGGGTGTGGGGGTGGAGAGGTGCCCTGGTCCTGGTTCAAGGAGATAACAGGACAGACTTAGTAGACT